AAATTGGGTGTGTCTTTTATTATTATAGGGCGGCCAAGACCAAGACAAATGGCCAGCTCCTTGAGGGCGCAACACTTTTCTGTTACAGTTTGCTAGAAATCATTTTTTGGCAATTGTAAAACAAAAATCATATACAAATTTTGCGGCTAGCCACGCTTCGTTAAACACATACGCAAATGCTCTGCTGCCTTTGGTTCATAACTGAAAAGTTTTGAGTCGAATATGTGTGTTTGGCAAGTTAACGCACGACTTGGCTGGACTTGGCTGGCAAATTGAGTTGGGGGCGCAGCTGGGGAATTTGCTAGCCAATAACGAAATTGTGCACAAATTGACTCCAGCACAGAGCCACCGAGCCCAAGCCCAACCCCCACCCACAGACCATGGCCCAGGCTCGTGCTCACAAATCAGAGTTGAGGACCAGACAGCACCAAAAGTGCAAACCAAGATCATGGCAATAGCTGCCAATTGTTTGCCCAGCCAAAACAGACAACTTGACTTTTCACACTCACAATACACACACTCACAGACACACACACACACATACTCAATAGCCAGCGGCTGCGTTTTTGGGTCTGGGCAAATTTGCGTGCAGATAAATTGCAATCTGGCCAAGTTCAGTGCGAGTGTGTGTGGGTGTGTGTGTGTGACTGGAGTTTGTCTACTTGTGAGGCTGTCAGCGTCGTTGCAATTGTTGTCTTTTAATCACCCAAGCCAAGTTAGGCTCCAGTCATAGATACTCACGACTGCACTTCATAATTTTAATTGCCTCCAGCACAGCGGAAGGAGGCGACAGCAGCGCGTGGAGCTTAAGTCCTGTTTGGCCAAGGCATTAGACCCACCTCGCACGTGACTGCCTTCGATTTTTGGGGAGTTGGCCGGATAGATGGGGCCCATTCGGTCAACAAGCAATTGCAACTGCAGGCTATTTGCTTGGGTCAATAGAGAGAGCTACTTAGGCACATCAGAAGCGAACCTGTTGAAGAAACAGTGTGAGGCAATGTAATGGAAAATGTTACAAAGAATAACGTATGATATTAAGGAAAGAAGTTTTTAGTGAAAGAGTAATATAACTTATAGAGATATCATCATTAATCATCAATCATCAATCAGACATCGGAGCAACAGAGAGAAGTTACGGAGAGAAGACTATGTTTTATAAGAACATGCTTAGAGTAAAAGAAGTCTTATTGGAATCCAATAGGATTTTAAAGCTACAAATTAAATAGGGATTTATTATGCAGTCATTCTCTCTCTATCTCTCCCTCTCTTGTTCTACTACAATCTACCGAGAGCATAAGTATGTCTTATCAGAATATTTTGAAGAATCCAATAAGCATTTCTTAGACTACAAATTACAAATTGATTTGTTGCGCAGTCAATCTCTTTCTCCCTCTCTCTTATGAAACTATATCGAAGCTAATTTACACTCTACAAGCGCGGCCTAATTCACGTTGTCTTTCTCAAATTTTTTTCTCAGCAATTTTTAGTCTCATCTCATCTTCCGCAATCACGACTGTGTCCGCGTGGCCTTTGTAGCCATCTCACTCTCACTCGGCAGCACTCGGGACTACTTTCAGCAAAAGCTATCGTTGTCTCACTTTCACACTTTGAGGATACAAGCCAGAACTGAGAAGAGCACAGACATGGCGCAAACTCACTCGGATAATGACTCCACAGCAACTCTTAACAGGAGGCAATCATGAATTGGGAAACTTAGAAAACTTAAATAAAATGTATATAAGAAATAAATATACATCTGCATATACGTTTACATTTACATATACATACATTTAAATGTATTTGATATCAGAAACCGAATCAAATCATAATTTGATCACGTTTATGCCAGACATGGATAGATACACATATTTATATATCAGATGTTGATATTTATTTCTTTTATTCTTTTGTTTTTTTTTTTTTTAAGCCGCAGCGCAAATTTGACTATTTGGTCGCGTTTATTGATGTGTAATAAACCAATTGCATTTGTTTTGAATATATAAATAGACATAAAAAAGGACAACGACAACAACAACAACAATAGGCAGCCATTTTTTGTTGTTGCTTTCCGTTTCCGCTTTTTTGCTTTTTCTGTTTTTTTTTTGTTTTGCTTTTGTTTGGCTTTCGATGTTTGGATATTTTTTGTTTTGGGTCGAAACGTGCGTGGCATACTAATTTGGACTAAATGGATACAAGTTCCATATTGTATACAGAGATATATGTATATATAGGGTCTTGGCCTACCCCTAACTGCTAGTGAGGGTTGGGTGTGAGTTGGGGGGCTGTAAAACGTTTGATTAATCAAACGAAAAGTGTTGAAAATGTTATTTTTGCCAGCGCTGCAAATGTGGCATTTGCGATTTTTATGTGACACAGATTTACGCAGACAAACAGACATAAATACATAACTGTATACATGGGTGTGCGTGTGTGTGTGCGTGTGTGTTTGGTCAGTCTATAGAAAAAGCCACAAATGGCGCCATTTAGTTGTTGAGCAAATGTAGCCATAAAGTTGCCAAGCCAAACGTTGACAAATCATAAAAACTCTGCACACAGAAGGAGCAGCTCGAAGCTGGAGCTATTAAATCAATCGGCCATAAAAAGGGCGCACAATAATAGAGCTGATAAAAAAGAGCAAAGGCCTTCGGACTGCCGACTGCCGACTTGAAAGTGTCTTAACAATTGCTCTCGCTCTTCAGTTAATTAGTCAAGCCAAAGGCTGCTTCAATGCAAACACGAAAATGAAAGAAAAGCCACAGGCAAAAATTAAATAAGTAGCACAATTCTAGCTGGGCATATATGACTGCATAATACCCTTTTATAGTACACAGCAAAAATTTATATTTTCCGATCTGTAAAAGCAAAGAGCAAGGCTTAGACGTGTTTAAGCAGCTTTAAAGTGCAAATATGTGAAATATAAGTTTATAAACATCTTAATCTGCATCTAGAATTGCCACACCCCCTTAATGGGCGTTGATATATAAAACATTGCTCAGTTTATGGTCAAAATTCAAGATCAAAGCTTAAGCTTAAAAAGTGCTGAAAACTATAGTTTTAGCTTAGCCAATTTGCCACGCCCATAAGTGCCCTATATATAGCAATGATATATATCTATGTAGGCATGATATGCTCCAATATATATACCAAATATCGTCTTTAATTGCTATAGTGCCTTAGATAGTAGGACTTAAGCTGAAACACTTAAGAAAATATGCAACTTGCCACGCCCCCAGTAAGATCATAAAGACAAGACTTTGATGAGAATGAAATGAGCTGATATCAAGTCAAGTCCCTTGCTCTGTTAACTCTATCAACACGCACCATATATACCCTTCTGGACTTTATGAACGAGCACAAAAACGCGGCTTCATTAACGCCAGCCAAAGTAACAGCAGCAGCAGCAGCAGCAGCAGCAGCGGCTGCCTTGCAACCAGACTGAGTACGTGCCACATTCAACTGCCACATTTGTCATTTAACATTTGGCAAACGTATTAAAACACCCCATCATTGCCTTAATTAAGAGCCATAAAAGCACATTTACTTATTGTGACTGAGCTACAACAACAAGAGCAGCAGCAGCAGCAGCAGCGGCAGCTCCAGTTCCAACTGGCCTGTGGCACGTCTTTTCCGCTTTTATTTATGCCCCAGCCAAACAGCCAGTCAGAGCGCAGTTGAAGCACTCGACTCGCCCAACCATTTGTCGTTCTTAATTCATGGCTAAAGTTGGAATTAAGTGAATTTTACGTTCATTAACGTGCGAGGGTTGCGCTCCAGCCCCAAACTACATGGCCTGATCTATATATATACATATAAATATCGTAGTCTCCGTGTGTGTGTGTGCTACGCACTTTTTGCTGCCATTCGCTGTGCCAGACAGTGTTGATAATTAGCAGAGCGTCTAATGTTGCCCTAATAACGTAAATTTGTGGCTTAGTGAAGCAGCAGTTGAGCATTAGAATTGAAGTGGTTAGCGCAGAGAGGGAGAGAGAGAGGTAGGTGGGCTCCAGCATAAAGGTAAACATGGTAGACATTTGATTAAAGATAGCAACAAATGTTCAGTTGAACAAACTAGACCAAGGCAGCAGAAAAAGATTTGAACTTAGGAATCTTCTTTAAACTAGTTTTTGGCTCTGTCTACAGAATGTAAATAAAATTATAACAAATATTTATTTAAATGCAAATAGTTAAATTAAGTATTTTTTGTGTATGTATTTATTTATAAATATAATATATATGTATGTATTTATTTTTAAGTTAATTTTTTGAATTGTTAAAGAAAAAAACAAAGTTTCTTTTGCTTGTTTTATAATAATATATATCTACATTAGTTTACTTTTTTTAAGTTAAAAAACTTAAATATTAGTCCTTTTTTATGTTTAATTTATTGATTAATTTTTTTTGTTTATTTTTGTTTATTTATTTTTAAAAATGTATATTAAAACTTAAATGTTATTCCTTTTTTATGGCTATATTAAATAATAATTCCTCTCATATTTAATTTTTGTCAGACCAAACAAAAACTAAACTATTAACTTTTAACAGAAACAAAATTTATTATAAATTTGCATTTATTTCATAAAAATTTAATTGCCTTACTGGGTTTCTTGATTATTAGAACTTTGGGCCATATCTTAAGTAACTAATTGGGCACAGAAAAGTTGCTTGGCAACAAAGGCAAAACTTTTTAATAACCTGTCCATATGACAGTTTCGGCCCAAACTAACTGGACCCAAAATGCTGACCACTCAAGAGTCCAGTCCAGCGTCGAGTCGAGTCGAAACTAAACGAGCTTGTGCCGCAATGCTACGAATAGCCTGTTAATTAGTCTCACTTAGAAAATAAACTGCAGTAATTAAGAGAAGGCAGAAAAAAAAAACTCAAACGTGGCTCCACCCCCAGCAAGTGCCCCAAAAAGAAACTATAAAAAATACCAAAATTTATATATATGTATTTAAAAAAAGAGGAAGAAGAAGAGGAGTGACAGCAGCGGCGGCGGCAATGGAGTGAGCATTTTAATTTCAACGCTAGAATTCTAATTAACAAACAAATCCGACAAAATACACAGCGGCAGAGGCAGCATACTGAATGCCCAGGGGAGCGAAAGAGAAGGCGCGCAAGTGAGCCGAAGTTTTGGGCCAAAGTCAGCGTCGGCGATGGCAGCAAAAAAGTATGCTATATAAAAGCGTTGGGCTGGTGGCAAGGGAAAACGAAAACGAAAAGGAAAACCCTGTGAGCCATGATCTCCCAATTTAATATTATAATTGCTACAATTATCATTCTCATGCCATTTACACAGCAATTGCACAAAAACAACAACAACAACAACAACGTCGACGACGACGGCAGCAGAGGCGACAGCGGTGATGGCGACGGCGACGGCGAAAACGACGACGTCGTAAAGAAAGCAACAAAAAAGGGCAGCACGTCAAGTGACTGGCTGCGGGTTGCGCATATGTATGGCAAATTGAGGCAATTACCGGCTCTTCTCACCCTCAGGCTTATGTGCTCTATATATATATACATGCTATGCTGTGACTCCACCCACAAGACAATGCGCTCTCACAGCTGCAAGCTTTCCCTTTCGCTCTCATAGACATGCTCTCTACGCATGCGTTGCGGATGTCGGCGTCGGCGCTGACGTTGCCGTTGCCGTTGACGTCGACAGCAGCAGTAGCAGCATGGCGGCGTACAGATGATGCCAATGATAATGGCGTTCATTATGTGAAGTTGGCCGCGGCAGCGTCGACTTCTAATGGGCGCATTTTAAAATTAATGTCTCAACTTTTTTCCGTTCTGCGCCGACGATTTTTTGACTATGTGCGCTAAATAATGATAATTTTTGTCAATTTGCCGTGCAGAGAAGTCCACTTTTCAGATGTTAATTGTATAACTTTATCTAAACTTGACTGGCTCCATCAATATGTTAACAAATCCCACCCACACACACTCATTTAGCCAATGCACACACAAAAAGTATGCCAGCAAAAAAGCAACGACAACAACAGCAAACATTAATTGATTTGTACATAAACGATAATTTGAGACGACAAGCTAAATTGATTACAAAATGTTTTGCAGCTGTTATTATTAAATTAATTTGTCATCAAACAAAGCATAAAAACGTTTCGTTCGCCCAACTAAATCTGCATAAAAGCAACCCCCAGTTGGCTCAAAAAAAAAAAAAAACGTATATTTAAGTTAGAAACATGACGCAGAAATAATCACAAATGTTATGATAAAGCCAATGACAAGGGTATAGATAACGCATTTGAATAAGTTTTATCATTCGAGTCGAACTAATTGAGTTTGATAAAAAGTGCCTGAAACTAAGTGGTGACAAATACCTTCTAAGTGCCCCTAGAGTGGGGCTCAGGTCTGGTGTGGGGCTTTTTTCTTTCATTTTTTTATCTAGTCTCCCCCTCCTTATTGGTTAGCCTTGGTTGGATCATCAGTGTAAAGTCCAAAGTACAGTTAAGCAATAATCAATTGCTTAGCATTGCTTGTCGTAATTTTCAGTAGCAAAAATCGTTGTGTTGTTCTTGCTTATGTTGTTCGACTTGTCATTGTTGTTGTTGTTGTTATAGTCGTGTGTAGTCATTGGGCTTTCAACAGAAGTCGTTTAGTGTTTGGCTTCATGTCATGTTTGTATTTCATAGATAAAATAGCGCGCAATTGTGCCAGCACAGAATATGTGTAATTATCGTTGTCACTAATTAAAGCGACTGTGTGTGTGGACTCAAAATTGCATCTTATCTTTCGAGAACCAAAACTTCTCAGGGATATTCTTATTTTCATTACTGAGATTTTGTGCGATTTGTGCAGACAAAGTGTCGTATTTCACAAATCCAGTCTACGGGTAATCAGAAAACAAGTTCAATTAGTGCAGCTATATCGATACTATTACTACTTCTACTATTTCGAGGCATTCTACATAATTTAGTTAACTTAATATTATTTATTTATTATATTATTAATAGTTAAATGAGTAACTACGTATTGAATAGGTTGCCGGCTTAATTTGAAATTAAATTTCTACCGCCTTCAGCCTTCAGTCTCAACTATCGATAACATATTTTGCACCACTGCAGCGCCAACATTAGCTTATCTTGTCTTTCACAGCACTGTTTTCACAGTTTACAGTAGCTTTTTACAGCTGTTAGCAAGTCAATAGCAGCGCAAAAGAAAAAACGAAAAAAACAAAAACAAGGAAAGTGCATAAAAACAACTTACAACTTATTTTTTCATTACAATTGAAATTGGTGCGAATAGAAAGCGAAACAAATCTTTTCTAATATTATAAAAAGAGAAGAAAAATAAGTGTTGAGCCTGCAAACTGCGTAAAATGCGTCATATCAAGTGAATAATAAATGTAATTTTGCTACGTTATTTTGAAACGAAAGTCAATTATGAAGACGCTGCAAAACTTTTTAATTTTCTTGACGGTTTTAGTATGCAGCCTTGCTGTGACCAACACAAGTCCATTAAGGTGAGTTAACCTAAAAAAAACCTAAAAAAGCAAAAGAAATATTCATTGCTTCGCTCCGCAAGATTCGCGTAAACGTAAGCAAAAAAAACAGTTTAGGCAAAGGGGCAAACTATGAATCGATATTTCGATAGGCCGCATGCAATGGCATCAAGTTCAAGGTTACCCCCATCTTCGAACGCCCGCTTTGTAACCTCCACATATTACTCACAGCTGGCTTTGTTTTTTTCCTCCCGTTTCAATTTGCAGCGCTCTTCATGACATACCTGTCTCGGGTGTCGCCTTGGCCAACGTATCGGATGAGTCAAGCAGCTCCGTTGAGCAACCTTTGAAGCGTCCCAGCGCTGCGGATTTCTCGGATGAAGATGATGACGACGAGGAGGATTACCCGCTGTATACGAATCTCGTGAGCAGAGATCCACAAAGCTGGGAAGTCCTTGTCTTTACGCAGCAATGGCCAGTGACTACGTGCTATCATTGGAGGGAGGAGGATCCATCGCATGAGTGCACATTGCCGCAGAAGAAGGAATTCTGGACCATTCACGGCATCTGGCCCACCAAACTGGGTCGAATTGGACCGAACTTTTGCAACAAGTCCGCCGAATTCGATCCGGATCAATTGGACACGATTGTGGATAACTTGAATACTTACTGGATGGACCTGGAAGGGGAAACGTCCCAGGATTATCTATGGAAGCACGAATGGCTCAAGCATGGCACCTGCGCTGCTGTCCTCGAGGCCCTCGACAACGAGCTGAAATACTTCGGGCAAGGCTTGATTTGGCGCGAGAAGTATGTAATATCCAATATACTGGACGCCTCTGGCATACATCCCGATTCGAACAACACGGTGATTGCGTTGAATAATGCTCTGGTGCGAGGCCTGGGCAAGAATCCATCCATCCACTGCATATACAATGGCAAGCACGACATTAGCTATCTGTCAGAGATACGTATATGCTTCGACAAATCGCTGGAGCTGATCGATTGCGACGGCACAAAACTGGGCGTGATGGCCATTAGATATCCGGGTGGCATCGTGAACACCAATTGCCACATTAGCGATCCTGTACACTATCCTAGCCTGGTGCCACCACTGCAACGTAAGAGCGAATGGAAATTCCCCTTGGTTAACGTCTACAAGTTGTTGCAGTTCCTCATGTGGTTTACACTGTGAAGAAATCCCTATCCGTCTCCCTCTCTCTGTTCGAGTATTTAGTTTGTTTACATCATTTGTTATAATCCACACATGAGAGATCGTATTACACTATTTTTTTTTATATAACTGTATTGAAAGCAAAAATCAACCTGGACGTGAGGCTAAAGTTTGAATAATCGTGCAAGCCATATCAGAATAATGCGTATAAACGACGATAAGCTACTTGATTGTGTACGCCATATCAAATTTCTTAATATATATATATCAGGACTTGAGGCTAAATTGTAAAATGATGACTAATCATGTAGATCATATCACGATATCAACTCAAGCTGCACGATATTGTAAACCATGTAAAACCCATATATATCAGGACTTGAGGGAAATTTGTATTAAAAGATGAGTGATCGTGTAAACCACATCTGGATACTATAAATATAGGCGTGATTGTGTAAACCATATTACAATTATATAATATATATATCACTATATCTCTCTATATCAAAAGGCGTTTATGCGTATGCAACTATTTGTGATTCTAAATATCAAAATATAAATAGAAAATACATGAACCATTTTTATTAATATGTTTATAGCACTCACAACAATCACATTTAAGCAACTACGCATAAACGTAGTTTAGAACAAATTATTTTAAAAATTTTATCGTCTCCTTTGATACCTTATCACGAAATTATGTTTGTTAATAATTTACTTGATTGTTTCAATAAAAGACACCGACACAGAAAATAAACAAACAAACACAGAGCAAACAGCAAACAGACTTTGTGATTTTGAATCGGATATTGTAAATTTGCATTACTTTTATATTTAGTTAATTATAATTTAAAGGCTGCATATTTTGAAGCTCTGAATGTGGTTAAAGGGAACGGTTTTAACTAGTTATATTTATATGAGTTGGTATTGCTTCTGCTTATTGCTGTTGTGTTGAATTGCCATTGTAGGTGGCCTTTTCCTCATCGTCATCCTTGGCCGTGTCCGCCAAACGACGTATATTCGTTTGGCCAAAACGTGTCGGCTTAAAGATGCCAGAACGCTGCTGTACCAAGTCCAGTGGTTGTGATGCACCCGCACCATCATTTGACAATTCAGTTGGCTTTATTTGATGCTCCGGTGATCCAACAGCATTTTGGGGATGGGCACGCTGCAATCCAGGTCCACTTGTTGTACGTAGCATAAACATATCCAAGTTGCGACGGTTGCTGATGCTATAAAAAGATCTATATTAAATTTTGATTTACGTTTATACAGCAATCGAACTCACTCTCCGCCCTGGGGAGTTTCTGGAGCTTGGATTGGTCTGCGCCAGCTCATATTTGCAAATATCTGAGCGAAACGCGCTCGCAAACGTTGAAAGCCGTGCTTATTAATGTAATCAAAGGCGACAGCGGCTGGCGTTAGGATAGCCCAGATGACGCTGGTCAGTATGTTCATCACATTATTTCTGCTGCGCACCACACAGTTGACCTGGTTACTGCCTAGCACCAATAGAACTGCGTTGGGCACCAAATTCAAATCGTTCAACGATAGCAATTCATCCTCAATTTTGAATTCTCGTCTCGGATAGCTGGTGGCCAGCGTGAATTCACGTATGGAGGTGCTGGCGAGCAGCTCCTCGCGTACATAGCTACGCACTGTGGTTAATGGCTCTATAATTGGAAAATCTTTGATGCGAATTATGCCGCCTGGCAGACGGATTTGTAGGCGTGTCTCTTCCACCGCGACGTGGTGCGACTGTTCGGGCGTTATAGTTGCTATTGACGCTGTTGTCGGTGTAGTACTCGACACCTCCACAGCCATGGCTGCTCGATTGGCCAGCTCTGCACGATCGGCGGCAATTTGAGCCAGAATACGTTCACGTGTCGCCTGCTCCTGTTGGCGCTCGCGGCGAATGCGTTCCTTAAAGTATAGAATAACAACCATTAGGAATATTGGCTATTGGCGTTCACCTTGTTGAAACTTACTTGCATTGACTTGAGCTCTTGCTCTCGGGCAGATTCTTGCTGTTCTCGAACAGCTGCTTGCTGCTCTCGTGCAGCTGCTTGCTGCTCTTGAGCTTCGCGTCGGCGTCGTGATTCGTTATCCTTCTCGCGTTGCTTCTTCTCCTCCGAACGTTCCTTTTTACGCTTCTCGACCTGCTGGTGTACTTTAGTCCCGCGCTTAGTAGTTCCCTCAACGGGCGCTGGAGTCACGCTCGGGCCAGGCACTGTGGTTGTGGTTTCTGTAGCCGGTGAAGTTACTGCCTCTGCTGCTGCTGCTGCTTCTGCTTTTGCTGCTGCTGCTTTTGCTGCTTCTACTGCTGCCGCTTCAGCTGCTGCTGCTGCTGCAGCCGCTGCACGCTTTTCGGCTGCTGCTGCCGCTGACAAAGCCGCTGCTGTTGGCTCAGCTGGCTTAGGTGGAGGAGCACTTGCGTCCAGTTCAACCACTGTAATAGGCTCAGCAGCTGTTTCAATGGGCTCAGGTACTGCCTCCGATTGCTGATTAGCAGATGGTTCTGCCAGTTCCTTAGCTTTTGCTGAGTCCTGAACAACAGATGGCTCTGTGACTTCCTTAGCTTTTCCTGATTCCTGTGACTTCTTTGCTTGCTCAGATTTCGTTGCAGCTGGAGCATATTTTAATGGTTGAGTTAGCTTCGTTGTTGACTCCGTTGTTTGCTTAGCTGCAGCGGGTTGGCTGCTCACGGTTGCCCCTGAATCATGCTCAGCAGCAACCGACTTCTTAAGATCCTCCTCCGCCTCTGAGTGCTTCGCTTTTGCAACCGGCTGCACAGGCTCTTCAGCTTTTTGCGCTATTGGCACTGGTGCGATTACGTTTTCATTCTGATCGTTATCATCGCCAGCGATTTTTCGTCGTGCTTGATCGTCCTGTTCATCGCTAACTGTTGAACTACTAGTGGGACAATCGATCTTATGTTTGCCCGACAATAGAAGCACCTTATTGATTTTTATCAACAGCTCTTCAACGCCACTAACGATGCCTGTGGCGATGTCCAGTGGCGTTCCGGTTTTGCCAATAAAGAAGATCGATGGAATAGGTACCACTTTATCTATAAGACAAAGCCATACAGGTACTACTTGTTTCACAATAACGAGCTTTCACTGTACTTACATAGCGATAGAAACTGTGCATATCTTGCGCTATCACCTTGAATTTTAACGGCTACAAAGTCTGTTGTCTGCAGCTTTTCGGTGACACGCGCATCATCCAGAATTCGATCCAGATTCGCGGTCATTTCATTCTGACCTGTAATTCAATTACAAAATCCAATTAGCGAACATGACGTGGTGAAATTGCATTGCAAATAGAAGGGTATGGATATTTGCCTTGAATATACACGACGAATATGGCATCCTTGGCCTTGGATTCTGCCACAGCTTCAGCTATATTACCCGTGTGCCAATTCATAATTGTTTGCTGCCTGGAATGTTTTGTTACCGAATAATTTGGCTGTTTCACAAAAACTTTTTTTTCCTGCCTGACATCTATGTGATAGTGATGAAACGTTTGTTCGACGTTTATCGATAATGCTCTTTGTTGTGTTATCGCCTGTGCTTTCAAGTAACACAAACAATATATATATTTATTTCGTTACAAATTTATTTATAGAAATATTTAAATTTACAAGCTACAAAATGTGAGTGTGAGGTCCCAGTCGGAAATTACCACCTGTCTAGTCTTTAATTCGATTCGTATCTATTCAGTAGAAGAATCTGTAAATATTCAAATCATAATCAGCTTCATTTGTATTAGAAATATTTGTGCAAATCTACGACCATCAAAATCCGAGCATACTATGGAGCTGGCTGGCGTCATAGATGTCTCGCTTCGTTCCACATCCGGCAATCGTGCCACACGTACACAGCAACGTTTCTGCTTGGGTTTCAAAGGAAACGGATGTCCGGCTGCAGCTCCTGCTTGTCCTTTGATGCGTTCCAAATTAACGCGACACTTGCGTATCTGCGCACGTTCTTGATAGTTGAAATCACCATGGGCCATGATAAATGGATGGCGTGGTATTTTAATGACCATCTTTTTTAATTTTTTTTGTGGCGACATTTTGATAAGCGCAAACTAAAACAGATAAAATATGACGCTATTCTTGAGAGCTGCAGCGATGCAGCTGTGAATTTAAGCCAGCTGCTTTAATATCGATATATTATTATTTATCGAAAATTCACCACGCTTGAGTTTATTTATTTTTAAATAGTTTATGTTTTTAGTATTTTTTCTTTTTGCATTTTATTTACATTTCGCTTTTTTCAGCAATAAATTTAAATTAATTAATTTCATATTTTTTAAGTAATCGAACAGAATTTTTCGTCGTTGTGCAACACTAGCTACGGGGCATTGTTTTTGTGTGTCATTATTGCAGGGGAAAATATTGTGAGAAAAATTAAACATTTGCACAAAGTTACGTGTTTTTTAAAACATTTACAGTCAAATACTAAACGGCAAACATGAGTGACATACAAACATTAATGGACATGGGTTTTCCCAGAGATCGAGTGTGAGTCTATGTTACATTTTTTTCTTCGCCGGCAATTTTTAAATGTTTTTTTTTTCCTTTTATTTTTTAGGGAATATGCATTAAACGTAACTAGCCACAAGGGCGTCGAAATGGCCATGGAATGGCTATTGGCCCATGGTGATGAAGAGATACCCGCTGCAGCGACAAGCGACGCAGCACCTGCTTCTGTTTCAGCTGCAGCTGCAGCTTCAGGTGAAGACACAGCGCCGAGCAGCAGCGGCTGTGCCGACGGCGGAGCCGTAGCCAAATCTCTGAAATGCGATGACTGCGGCAAAGTGCTCAAGGATCAGACCGAAGTGGAATATCATGCAGCCAAAACAGGCCACAGCAACTTCTCCGAGTCTACTGAGGAGAAAAAGGCGCTCAGCGAGGAGGAGAAGAAAGCGCAGCTAGCCTTGATCGAGGAGAAGCTCAAGCAGAAGCGTGTGGAGCGCGAGGAACGCGAAAAAGCCGATGCTTTGGAGCGTGAACGCAACCGTATACGCTCCGGCAAGGATATGACAGAGGCACGCCGTCGCATGGAGGAAATCGAAATGAAGAAAATTGTGGATCAACGCAAGCGCGAAAAGGAGGAAGAGAAGGCAGCACGCGATCGCGTGCGTGCACAAATCGAGGCAGACAAAGCGGCACGCAAAGCCAGGTGAGATTGGTACTTAAGCGATGTGAAACTATTTACTAATGTTTATAATTCTTGCAGGGAAGTGCTGAGCAGTCCCGCTGCCCAATTGTCGGATGCCGTGCCCTCTGTCAGCTCCACTACAACGGCCACCACGCCAACTAATGTTAAATCGCCACCGCGCGACTATACGGAGACACGCATCCAGGTGCGACTGCAGGACGGTTCGACGTTGGCTTCCGAATTTAATGTGAAGGAGCCGCTGTCTGCTGTACGTGTGTTCATCCAGGTGAAGACTGGCATTGATACCCCATTCGCATTGATGACTACATTTCCGCGCAAGATCTTTGCCGACGAGGACTACGAGAAGCCGCTCGAAGTGCTGGGCCTAGTGCCCTCCGCTGTGATCATAATGACCAAGCCGACTGCGTAGATTTTCTCACACACAAACAACAAAAACATCTTTAACTAACTCTATATATATCTATATAATATAATATGTATAATGTCGCGATATTTCGGGCTTACGATTTTATATAAAGCAAAAGCTTAACTCAAATCTTTTACAATTTTATATTCGCATTGGGCTGTGCTACATGAAGGGCTCCACATAGCTTTTGATTTTCTTGACACTTCGCTCCGCTGGCCGCATATTCAAATGTTGTCCGAATATGATGAACTCCATGCTGTCCACGTGGAGGCTAAAGACGCACTCGCTCTTGGGTACCGTGCGCACACGATGATCCTCGCCCAGCAGCTTCAGTACATTCTTGGTGTCCATGACACATATGCCATTGAGGCCAACTAGCGTGGGACATTTCGATTGGTGCACCCGCAGCTTAGCTCCGTGCAAATCCATTTTGACCAGCTGCCGACTGAACTCGTCGTAGCGCTTCTCATGCAGCTGCGGCACCTGTTCGCCCTCCTTTAAGTCGAGATGCTCGCGTATGTATCCCCGCCAGAGCTTGTGCAGCGGCAGTGCCTGCTCGTAGCGCATTTGACGTGTGGGCAACGCATTGAGTCCAAGTTTCGCATATTCCCTCCTCGTCAGACTGGCCGATTTGTGGGCGCGACGTTTGCGCGTGTGTTGCTTCTTTATCTTCGTGCCATGCAGCATGGTAATATGATCTGGTATGATATTCACATTACAGCGATGATGTGGTACTACAAGATCTGTAAGAAACTCCTTCAAACTTTCTGTTTCTCTCTCCATTTCGTCCAATTTGATTTGTTTACAAAACTTTTAGCAATTAGCGCACATTCTATAAACCGATAACAACTATCGAAAATGACAGCTGTTAAGTTAGCTTAACATAACTCTGTAAAATAAAAGACAGAAAGCATTGTTAAGGTCACACCTTTAACTTTGCACCAAATGTTGCTGCAACATTAAGCTACGAGCGCGCCATCTCTTGCTAACGCAAAAATGAATAAAAATGTATATTAAAAAAGTCCAAATCACTTGTAAATTAACATTAATATGATCGAACAACATAGTCAGCGCATTTTGTTCATTTTCTCAAAATGCAGCCATCATAACAGCACGCTGCACCTTTGAGGCAACATGTTGCTAAGACTCAGCTGTTTGAGTAAATACCTAAAGTGGAACGACCCGGTCACACAGCGACCAGACACAGCAGCCCGGTCACATTGCCAGAAATTTTTGTTGTTGTCAGTCCTATCACGACTTTCGCATAAACGACACGCATAATATCGGTAAAAAGACGCCGCGTGTGTTTGATGCAAAAGGCAAAGGAAAAATTTAATACATACACACACATGTATTGCAAAAGCAATTTAGCTACTGCCTATCAAACTTCGGGTAGTGTGATAACAAGATAATGCAATAATTGTTTTGTGCTCCCCCAAACAAACGTGACCAAATGCACAAATAAAAAAAAATACAACAAAAGTAAAATATATTCAATTGATTGCCGTCGGTCTCGTTCGCGCTCTCTCTCTCTCTCGCCTCGCTCTTTCTCTCTGTGTGTGTGGCTGTGTTTCTAAATGAATGTGTGTACGCGTTAATAAACCACAAATAATAACAAATTCGTGAGACTTGCTGCATTTTAGTCACTGTTGCAGTTCCGCTGTCAGCGTTGCCGTCTCAGCTCGCGCCGCGTTTTCAATTTGTATTTGTAAATTTCACATCATCTCTCTCACGCCGCTGTCGACACCGCAGTTGCCGCCGCCGCCACCGACGCTGCACACACAAACATACGCACGCAAGCACGCCAAACCAAACACACACAAACATACTCACATTCATTCGTACAAATGCGGAAGAGTCGCCGCAGTCGGCGAATTTAGCTCCCCACCGTTGCCATCAACATTAATTCGTTGCCGCTGCCGTTGACGCCGCTCAATAATTGTGCATTTTGCTTAAAGGTAAGCTCCAAGCTGGGAAAAACTGCCAAATTCCATGTGTAATACAAAATGCCGCACATTTTGTGCATTTCATTGCACTCTTTCTTTTTATTGCAATGTGCATTGTTTTCCATGAGTGTTGCCTTGGCGTCGACGCCGCAGTCGGCATCGGTATCGCCGCAGCGACAGCAAAAAGTGTCAAGTGCGCGGCGCTGACGCTAAGCACGCTGTGAGAGCGCACGCCGTCTCGCTCTCTCTTCGCTATTGTTGCTATTGCAAAACATGTGCACATATTAAATAAGAAATTTGCTCGTCATTTTTTGTCTGCTCTCCCATGTAAACATTTAACTCACAAAAAAAAAAAAAAAGAAAAAACTCCATAGTCCACTTTTAGTTTCTTCTTTTTTTGAGTTTGTTTGCCTACTCTGGCTCGCTCGCTCTCTGGCTCTTGCGCTAGCTCACTGACTCACGCATACATATACATGCGCGCACACTAACAAAGACGCGCCCCGGCCGCAGCTAACGGCACTTTTTCTTTTTTTTTTGTTTCCCTTTTTCTCTTTGCCTGCCAAAAAATGCGCCCAAAAATCTAAATCTCAAATTCTTCTATTTCTCCTTTATGTTTTTCTCTTGCAGTCGACAGCAGCAACAGCAAAAGCAAACAACAACAGCTGAAAAAATCAAAGAAAAATATGTGTAAAATGCAGAATTTAAATTAAATTCCATCAATTCATTTTTAATGTGTTAAATCAAATTCAAATAACATCAACAAACAAAATTCTTGTGTGCGCAACAACAACAATAATAAAAATCCAAAATTACAAAAATCTAATGGGAAACTATTGAATGGCGGCCATTAGTGGCCCCAAGCGGCATCCATTGAGCAGTCAACACCATTTCTCCCATCCAACCACCACCGCCACCGCCAGCAGCAGCACCACCACCACCACTACCACCACAAGCAACAACACCAACAGCAACAGCAACAGCACCACTAACAGCAAGCAACGACTTTACAGCTATCAAACGCCAGCTAATCCCCAGCACACAGCACAAAGTTACTCCAACGCCACCACCAACAACACCGCCACCGCCACCACCACTACTAAGAAGGGCAACAGCAGCAGCAGCAGCATCAACAGCTGCCCAAATTCTTCAGCTGCTGCGCCGCGTAGCTCAATGAGCGTTTCGATGTCACTGGTACAGGGTGGTGCTGCCGGTGGTGCGCCACAGGGCGCCAGCGCAATATTAGCCGCAGCGGCTCCATACTATCAGCCGCCAGCGGTGCCACAGGATGTCCAACCGGATCGTCCAATTGGCTACGGTGCATTCGGAGTTGTCTGGTAAGTTATCAAGCAATATAATGATGTGATGTGGATATATTTTGATGTGAGAATGGCTATATGATATATATAATATGGAAGATTATAATATAGCATATGTGTAGCTAGTCACATAGCATTATAATAAGAGTCTAAGGTCATATAGAGGGCATATATATTGAACGTATCATAAATAGCAAAGTTTTACTAGATCATATGATATATAATATATGAATTGGTATAAGATTGTATGATAATATCAATATATGAATTATAATATCAATATATCATAGAAAAATTCTCAGGGTTAGAGGGAAAGGGATATATATGAAATCCTCTCATATGAGCATTAACTATAAGATGCCAAAAGGAAATATCTCCATGCAAGCCCAACATTCCCAACTTGCATTATATATATATATATATATATGTATATATATCATATACTTTTTATATATGCTTCTTAGAGTTGCTTGCCATGTGTCCAAGTTGAAGTTGTATTCACATTTAGCTGCAGACTTTGGTCCTGTCATGTAACTGGGGTTCAATGCCTCTTGCGCCTGGCGGCGACCTTTCCCTCAGTGCCGTCCTTTAGACATGGGCCTCTGTTTTGTTATTATTATATTCTGCTTCTTTTCGCTCTTTATCCCCTTTCTATATACTCTTTTTTTGTATGTGGTCTGTCGTCGCAGCGTCAACATTAACATCAAGCGTCGTCCTTCGTCCTTTGTGCCTAGTTGGGGTGGTTTTTCTCTAAATATGCTCTGCTACCCACCCATTCTAAACACGCTTTCCTCTTTCGCCTGCCCCTGCCCCTGCCCCTGGCCCTTTGCTTGCTGTTGTTGCTGTTTTTATTTCTGTTTCTTTTTGTTCTTTTCTGTTGCGGCTCGCGGCTGTTCGCCGGGCAAAAGTTTTTCCCAACCTTCTTTGATTTGCATTTTTACAATTTTTACATTAATTGTTGCTAAACGAGTTGTGCAACGCTTGTAACGGTTGATTCTTTGACTTGTTTTTGACAGCTGAACTGAAATTTGGCAACGCTGCGCATTACGTTTCAATTTTATATAAATTTCATTCACGTGTAAAACGGCATTTCCGGCGCTGCACGCCCAGCGGGACAGAGCGAGAGAGGAAAGGGGAGAAACGGGATTTTAGTGTTGGGTAAACACCAAAAGAAGCTAGCGAAAAAAAAACTGGCACACGCTAAGTGACGCCTAGCAGTAGGAGCAGGGGGCGGGGCAGGGGTAGGCATAGAGTAGAAGTGCTTAAAAGTAGGCACAAGGAAGTTGTGCAGCGCATAAAGACGACAACGAAATGTGCCACAAGTGGAGGAGAGTAAGCAGAGTCGTCCCCCGTCCCGCCTCTTGTAACCCCAAGCCCTAGAAGAATGGGGCAAAACGTGAAAAGCTGTTTAAAAGGAGAAAGAAGCCGGCTTGGCTTAGGCCTTCTGGCTTAAAGTAGAAACCCGCAGAATAGAGTCGTTGACGTTGGATTGGCTTTTCAAAAGCAATCATCATGCTCTGGTCGGGTCTGGTCGGTCTGTCGGTCTGTCGGTCTGCTGGTCTCTTGGTCTGGCTCAGAGGAAAACTATATTAATATATAGCCTGGGCCACTCGGCACTCCGCACTGTAAATGCAATCAAGCGTTAAATTTAAGTGCCAAATGTCGAACTTGTTGTTAGATGCCCGTGTGGCCAGATGCCGAGGCTAGTTTTGTTTATGTGCCGTTGGTTAGCAGCAGGTGAGAGAAGGTGTAGTCTATTACTCAGGCAGGAAGTCGCACAGCAATGCGAGCAAGTGTCATAGTTAATGAAGTTTGGCAACATCGGTCAAGTACTTCAAATTGGAATTTCAATTGGAATTTCACTTGAAATTGCTAAAAACAATAGCTCTCAGCTATTAATGGAATTGGAATTGTGTTTCTGTTGATTTTCTGTGCATTTGGTAAACTGGAAGAGCTTTAAATTGCGTCAGCTATTGAAGTTTGTCAATAGCTTAAGCCAAACAATTCGAAAATGTGACTTTAAATGGGTTTTAACTCTTTGTTCGGGCATATGCAAATATGCCAACTGCATTTGTGAAGTTTTGCAACATTGCATGAATTTTTCATTGCGTAAGCGCATGGCAATTGGATGAATATATTGGAACAATTTTTAAATTTTATATATGATTGACTAAAGGGTTAAGGGTTATTCGGGAAGTTTTACAAGGGTGCAAAGCTCTAGCAGAAAGTCTTTTGCACTGAAATTTGGCAACAGTGTAGGCCTATAGAACTGTCTGAACTGATATATATAGTCTTTTGTGAAGTTTGGCAACAGCGCATTGGTTTTAAACAGTCCATTATGCTGAAATTTGGCAACAATGCAAGAAAATTGATTTCAAAATAGCTCTTGCCCACATATTTCTAGTATTTTGTGAAATTTGGCAACAGGGTTTGCAGCTGCTAATGAAGCTTGGCAACAATGCTTAACTGTTTTTATAGAAACTCTAAACTGAGTTGAATTGGTCGTGCTTTCAGCCAGATTTATAGATGTTAAGTGTGGCAACAATGTAATAATCGATTAACAGAAGTTCGGCAACGACGCCTACGCACATAGCGTGCTAATTATATCGTAAGCCGGCGCACATTTAAAGCTGTTATCATTCAACATAAAAATGTAAATGTTTATCAATAAAAAAGAATCGACTGAACGCCAGATTAATCAGTTTATAATTTATTTCGTGGAAATCGGAAACCATTTATGCACTTAAATACACAACAAGATTAACCAATTAATCCTAGGCAAAGTTCTACGAATTTTTCTCACTGCATTGCGGCCAAGACAAACATAAAAAAGAGTGGAGAGAGAGGCGGAGCAGCCGCAACAGAGAGGAGGGCCAAATGGGCAATGAAAAACGCTCGTTTCGGCCACAAAACAAAAATATTGGACACAGAGTTCGTAGAGTCCAGTCTTTTTGGCCTGTTGCACAGGCAGCAGATGAAGAAGACGACGTCGAAGAAGAGGAAGAAAGCCATGAGCCCGCAAAAGATGAGCGAACCGAACATCTTGGGCTTACTTTAAACTACCTGCAACTGGTTTTAGAGCAGCGGCAGCAGCAGTCGGGCAGGCAGGCAGACGCAGACGACAAGTCCGAGAACGGACCAAATGGACAGTAGGACAAAACGAACAGACAGAGACGGAGAGACTGGGAGAGAGAGAGAGACTGCTGTGTAAACCTTTTGCCTGCATAAAAACTCGCTTCCTGCACGACTTGTGGCCTGCTCTTCTGGGCCTTAGCATTAGCCTTAGCCTAAGCCATGCAGCCTTCGGCTCTGGCTCTGGCTCTGACTTTGACTCTGCCTCGCAAGGTGTCGTCGTTGTCGTCGTCGTTATCTCTTGCCCAGCTCAAGCTAGCCATGGCTATAGCCATAGCCTGGGTTGGCTTGGCGCGGCTTGAGTTCCTGTTATTTTCTATACCCTAGCAAATAGGGTTACTCGAAACAAGGCGTATGAGAGAATGGCTAATTTGATTGTTATTGTTATTAGAAGTTAGAATAGAGCTGCGACTCTCGATTGCTAGTTAAATGTAGGTTAATAGGGATCGATAAAGTAGCTTTACTTGAGAGAAGTCTATATAGTTGACTGACTAGCAGCTAGAGATGTAGAAGATAAGCAGATATCTCTCCCATAACGCACTCTCATGGTCTGGCAAGAGCATCAATTCGTCGGCATTTCGTTTAGAACATTTTTTTCTTTTTGGTTTCTTTACGTGTTTCTCTAGGCTTTCAGTCTTTTTGATCAGGCGCAAATCCTGCGCTAATCTCGAGTCCAATGGCCCTGCCCAGCTTCCAGCTTGCAGCTCTCAGGTCTCAGGTCTCGGGTCTTAGGCCCGCATCGCTGACGCGCGATTCGTTGCGATTCGCTGGCATTAATCGTCGTGTCCCCGCTGTTGCCTGTTAAGTGATTCCTCACTGCCGCGCCGCCCGTCCCCGTCCCTCTCGCTCTCGCTCATGGGCTGCTGCTGCTGCACCACCGAAAAAGCAAACAAAACAAAACAAATGCAAAGGCATTGCATGCGGCGCATTGACTACATTGAGAAGTACCGGGACACGTAGTTTTTATTTTTTCCTCAACTATTTACTTTTCACGTTTTTTTTTTTTTTGGGTTTGTATACCCTGTCCTTATTGAAAATAGGTTATAGTGGATTTTTGCTTGCCTATGTAACAGGCTGAGGAAGTTTGATAATCAAGCTCTGTTTGGGATTTATTGAAGAGCTTAAGACAGAGTTGCACAGATCTAACTTTGACTTAGTTAGCTCTACAGCTCTTACAGCAATATGTTATACCTAGATGTTTGGAATATAAAGATTCTAAAAGACCTTCTGTAAAGCCTTAAGCAACTGAAAGCAAGAGCGTTGCATATGAATCATTTCAATTTGACTCCAAATACACAAAACAATATTGTTGCTCACTTATAACAACATGCTCTGCCTACAGGGTATCTGCCAGTCGTTCAATACTACAGTGCTCACAGCAGCCAGAACAGCTGCTCTGGTCGTGGCTTTAGAGCTCAATGCTTGATGCTGGGCTCTGCTGTTGGTGGTTGGTTGAACAACCTTCGGCAGTTTTTAGATATTTTGTCTGTCACACACACACACACACACACACAAATACACACTCGCACACACATAGAGGTTTGTGCAGACAGGCCCGCTTACAGGATATATGACTGAGCTAGGGTAGAGTCCCGCATATGTTTATCGTCTGCTACCACATTTTTAGCTCTCGTCCACATCATCCTGCAGTTCGTCTCGTCTCTAGTGCAACGTGTTCGCTTCAATTGACGTAAAAACTACCCCGTGTCCATCCCTTTGGACTGTAATTTTCAATGACAAAGTTTTTCCCTTCTAGATTTTCCCTGTTTGACTTTGAAAGTGTTTGAATAATTATCCTGTTTTTCCATTGCACTCATCTCGCTCTTTTCATTGGGTTTTTGCACAATTTCTCTGTCCCGCTCTGTGGCTTCCTTTCCTGATTGAAT